ATTTTTTTTTTAATTTTTTTATACATAACGAATGTACAGTCGTTATGTAGTTTCATAACGAATGCACATTCGTTAGTTGAAGAAAATCTCATAAGGAATGTATATTTGTTATCTAATTATATCATAGCTAATGTAGATCCGTTATTTGACTTTATTTCATAAGGAATGTAATTTCGTTAACACATATCCCGTTGTAATTATGACATATCTTAATGTAGATCCGTTATTTGATGTTTATTTCATAAGGAATGTAATTATTTATTTTCAATTATGACATATCGCAATGTAGTTTCGTTATTATACTTTGATATGCATTTTGGTTTCATTTTGATTTTCATGTTTTATGCGCTATTTTTCCACAATTATCTTGTTGAAGTAACATATATTTTTTTCTTGTAGATATTTCTTTTAGCAAAGATGGTGTGGATACAAGTATGCCACTATGTTGAGTTTAAAAAGAGTACGGATGGCACTTGGATGTGGAAATATTTGAATGAAAATGAAGAGAATGTCAATCCTATTTACGTTCGCGACGACATATCTTTCTTGGAGCTTGAAGATGCGGTCTGGAAGCTCATAAAGTTTGATAGCATCTCACACGTAATAGAATTGCGATCACTGAACCCAAGAATGATGAAACTTCCAATTCCAATCCCCCCTGTGAAGATCGATTCTGATGACAAAGTCAAATGGTATATATCTGTTTGTGACGAACATCCTCTTTGCGTAACACTTGTCGAAAAACTTGTTGAGGAAGAAACGAACAATGTTGAAGTTGAAAAAAATCTTGAAGTTGAAGAAGAAACAAACAATGACAATTTAGAGGCGATCGAAACACTTACATGGGAAAATGAAATTGACGAGCCGCTCGAAGGTCAATGGGACATTATGGTGGAGAATAGAGATAGCCCTATGGAAACAAATGTTGAAGTTGAAGATGAAAGAGGAGCCACTTTGTTGATAGAACAGGCGCGTGAGAATCTTTCAACAGAATATGCCATGGTTGGGAATGCAAGCTGCTCTATGAGTCCTCTCCATTGTCCATCTCCTGTGATGATCCCAGAGAATGAAGATGTGCAATGTAACAACATCTTCTCAACCAAAAAGGAGTTGGTAGATAAACTTTTGTTGTTGGCCGTGAAGTACCACTTTGAATTCCGAGTGATAAAATCGACGAAGACCTTGTATGTAGTTACTTGTATTGAAAGAAATTGTCCTTGGCGTTTGAGAGCGGTGAAGATAAATAGTGGTGAAATTTTTGTAGTACGTAAGTATGTTGGTAATCACACTTGCTCTATGAGTGTGCGTCGTAAAGATCACAGGCATGCGACGTACAAGCTGATTGGGAAACACATTTCCGAAAAGTATAAAGACGTCAATCGGATTTATAAGCCGAGGGATATTATGTTTGATGTCCAAGAGAA